ATAATATATACATGTATATAATATATATATATAATATATATATATATGTACCCATATACATAGATTGTGATATAGTTTTGCCTACATGTAATTACTTACTCTATATTTTTATAGTACATGTGTATTATGTAAGAAGATTGGTTTTTATTTTAATATTAATCTTTTATTTATACAGATATTTTAAAATATTAAGTTTCACGATAATTGTATCAACATAAGTAAAATTTAAATATGTATTTACTACATGGCGACTCATGTATTTATTAACATAAAACGAACATATATAGAGAGAGAGTCATAGTAGTTTCAGGCTTATAATTTAATATATAAGTATTATACACTCGAATCTTGTTCGAAAGTATCTTTGCATGCTGCTCGTAAAATTGTATTATTTTAGCGATTCTAGCAAGTAAATATCACGTTGATAATCTAACAGGATCCGACACATGATCATTTCATTCTGGTTTTACACACAAAAAAGCTTATATATAAAAGCTTTTCACACACACACATACACATATATATATACGCACACACACACACACACAAATCTTGCGAATAGATATCTATGCTCAATTATACATAATAGTCGATGGTTGAATTTATTGCAGACAGCCTTCTCGAATTGTTCGAATGATAATAAAAATATTTAGAAGATATTTCTTCTAAAGATTTCAAAAGATTATTAAAATTTGAAATTGTTAAAAATCTCTGAATATTGAATAAAGCAATAGTCTGATCACACATTCGTTCAGTCTGAATTTTCTGAACATAATCACTTATGGCTGCGTTCTGATATTCATTGTCAGTATTAAAAATCGACAGAGCACCGATTGCCAAGATTTTCTTGCACAGATCGTTTTCCTAAATTTTGTTTGCAAAAAATTTTTGCGCAGATCCCGATTGTTTATAATCATCATCAGATCCCGTTTGCACAGAGATCATATTGCGCATATTAAAACAAGACTACTTTTTTTATGTTCTTTTTGTTTGTGTTGTAAGCATGTAGCATAGATATATATGAAAATAGACTGCGCATGTGAGAGGGGAAGTGAGTCAAAACCTAGAGCGAAACAGATGCTTTTTTTCGTGTCTCTGTCTTTCAGCATCTGGATTAGAGATTCCCCAGAAGACAACTCAACGACCGTTCCGTTTCAGTCATATGCACACATTTATTTATAGTACACGTTACGTATAGTATAGATAAATGCGCGCTTATGCGTGAAACGGAACGCAGTTTTGGTTAGGGATCTGGTTTTTACTATTCTCATAATTTATAATATTAATTACAATAATCTGGTGAAATATTGTTGTGTGTGTAAAGCAGGAAAATAGAGAGAAAGAGAGAAAAAAAAGAAAAACTATTTTTTTTTTTTTTAATGTTTTATTCTGAATCGATTAAGACTAAAACGAAAATGATCGGTTTTGTCTTAATTCTTTATATTTCTTGAAATATTGCGCCGTGGAAATCTCTCTACTTTTTAATCGCGTGAATTTCGTGTATAATAGGCGGCACGGGTGCCTCGTGCCGTTCGCGCGCAACTTCATTGACATAATTCACTAAGATATTCACTATCTCGCAATTTTTGTAAATACAATAGAATATGCTAAAGTAAAATAGATACACCATTGTGATGTGCAACGTACATTCTAAAAAAAAACGTATGAAATATGAAATATTTCAACAAAAAAATGTTCAGACTGTTGCACATTCAAAGACAAAGCACATATTTTGAACAAGAAACATAAATGTGAACAACGTTACATTTTTCATCTTTTTTGTCATACGATTATTTATTCAAGATTAGAGAATGTTTAGTTTTTTCTTAAGAAGACGTGACTGAGCAAAACAAATTTTATACGGCTCGACAAATGTAATTTAAAAGCATAGACGTATACGTATAGACTGAATGTAACGCTTGACAACAATGTAACGATGTGAAAACATTCGCTCGGCATCCGTACGACGTTAAATGCACCAACGTCGCGTCTTTGAACGCATATTTTTTGTTCCTTTTGGTATACACGATGAGTAAATATTAGCGCGCGAATGTTACCTTCTCGTCTACATAATAGCACGCGCAACGATGAGTTACTGAAACAAAAACAATGGTCACCGAGTATATCTCGTCAACTGTTCGTATCGGCGCCGCTACTTGTTCCAAACGTCATACGCGAAGTTAATCAAATATCAAATCTGTAAGCGTCGCAATTATTATTATATATATATATATATATCCTGCAATTTCCAGTCTAAGTCTATGTTTAAAAGTAAATGTACTGCAAAAAGTACTCACACTTTTTGATGACGTCGGGCTTACGGCAAAGTAGGTAGATCTTCTTTCATACAGTATTGCCATAATCCAAGAATTATGTCCCTGACGTATTTGTCATCAAAATAAATTGCAAAAGGAAATATTTTCTGATCTGCTGGTGATAGTTTGTTAGCCGTATCAATTCCCATATCGTTATAAAATTTCTAATTCCTCGTGGTAAAGTATTGCAATACTTCAAGACCGACTAAAATTTGCTTTTTAATTCTGACCATACTATTCGCGAGGATATAAAAAGAACTCAAACATAAAAATATCAAAACTTTACTACATAAGCCTATGATATTTTACAGTAGAATTTCAATAATTTCAAGCACATAAAACTGATTCTTTCTATAAATTATTTGAAATTATTTTCTTCTTCTTCCAGTTAGTAACTAACTGATAAGAAGAGACGAAAGATATATGTTTCTCTTTCTCTTAGATTAGGAATAAACTGTGCACTCTACGAGTTGCGCAGTTACTCAAGAATATTATATTCACGAAATTTATAAATAACAAGAACAACTATTAGCTCGCTCATAAATGAGAATTCAAAATTATAATGCTCAAAATTATTAGAATTTTACTGTATGTAATTTTATGTAATAGATGTACAAACATTTTATTGAAATATATAAAAAGATACTTGAAAAAACTTACAATTTCTTCTGTCGAAATATCAGCATTAGAAAGTCGATTAAATACGTAGGAATAATGTGGAAGAAAAAAAAACAAATAAGTTGTGCACAAATTTATTGATACGAGGGTCGTTTGAAAAGTTTTGTGCCTCAATATGAAAATGGCATTACTCGTTAAAATCATTCTGGTATTACAATCGTACATGCTTTAAGAGATACCTGTAAAAATTTATAGCCATTTTGGACGCTCAGATGTTGTTTGACAGTCATTTGTGTCAGTCGATGTCAATGTTTTTGTAAAAATAGAAAAAATTGAATATTGTGCCGTGATTAAATTCTTGCGTTTGAAAGGCAAGACGCCTGCGCAAATTAAAGCCGAGCTGGACGCTGTTTACGGGAACTCTGCCACCGTGAAAAAATGGACAGCTAAATTTAAACATGGTCGTATCAGCTTGACTGATGATGGGCGTTCGGAACGGCTAACAACTGCGACCATCATTGATAACATCGAAAAAGTTCACCAAATGGTATTGAACGACCGTCGAATCAAGATTAGAGAAATAGAAGATGTTGTGAGCATATCATATAAAAGAATGTATTTATCATATATTGACTAAAGAATTAGACATGCGTAAGCTAACCGCGCGTTGGGTGCCGCGCTTGCTCACTGTGGATCAAAAACGCATTCGAATGAACATTTCTAAGGTTCTGTTAGAGCGGTTTAAGCAAAACGAGTCGGATTTTTTGCGTCGATTAATAACTGTCGATGAAACGTGGATCCACTACTTCACTCCTGAAACGAAGATACAATAAAAAAACAGTGAATTGCTGGGTGAATTCAAAGGATAAAATCAAAGGGTAAATCTGCTCCGAAAAAGGCGAAGACGGTTCTATTGGCCGGGAAAGTGATGGCGACTGTTTTTTTTTGGGATAGTCATGGAATTGTGTTTATCGACTATCTTGAAAAAGGTAAAACAATAACGGGGGAGTACTACGCATCGTTACTTGATAGGCTGAAGGCAGAAATTGTAAAAAAATGGTACTATGAAAACGTAGGATTATCCTCTTAGAATCATCGTCTCGTCCGTTGGCACGCCGCTCCATGGGTTAGCATTCTTTTTACACAAAATAATTTATAAGAGTTTACCATTAGCCAAGAGTCATGTTTCTAACAGTTTTTCTTTAGTGAAAAAAATCTCGGATATTTTTTTTTACATTGACGATTATTTTGAATTAATTTCTTTGGATGCAATTTCTCTATTTACTAATGTTTCTTTGGAGCTGGCGGTCGACAGTTTTCTGAACAGATGGCGATTTCTTGAGAGAGAAACAACTCTACCTCGGGATGAATTCATTACGGCGGTTCGCTTAGTTTTGAATTCTACCTTTTTTGTTTTTAACGATAGGTTTTACAAACAAACATTTGGAACGCCGATGGGTTCTCCTCTCTCCCGTTGTTGCCGATCTGGTTCTGCAGGACCTTGAGAGCTACGCACTTGGCAGGCTTTCATTCATTTCCCCTTTTTATTTGAGATATGTCGATGATATTGTCTTGGCATCTCCAAAAACGTATCACAAGGAGGTACTTGACTGTTTCAATTCTTACCATCCTAGACTCCAATTCTCAGTTGAGATTGATAATAATAACTCT